TAAAACGTTCTTAAGATTATCTCAAAATCGATTTTTATATTTAATTATAAAATTTTAAATTTAAAAAATGGTTAAAATCAAGTAGATCTATAAACATATGAAAATCTTGAAAATAGACGGTGTAAAATAATATATTGTAAAATGTACTATTTCTGAGACTTAAAATCTTTTTATTTTTCATAGTCATACATCTCGATGTCGAGATGATCAATCAAAGGGGGTCAACATTAAAACTACCTTTTCCGATGGATTTGTTAGGTGCATCCGTAATTCTACATTATAAGGTAACATCCTTATATAAACTTTTTCTATTTTTAAATTAGTATTTTTGTCAATTTTTTAATAAAGAGAGAATTCTTGGTTTTTTAGTCCCGGATAGAAGAATATATTAAGGAAATAGTGGTAGATGTATAAAACTCTTTGTAGTCATGTGTTCCTTGAAAACAGGAAGGTCCTCATCCTTCATCATATTGTATTTATTCTTCCACAGTAATAAATAGGAAGGTCCTCCCATCCTTCATCAGATTTTATTTATTCCTCCATAATAATTTATTTATTCCTTCAAAATAATATTACTCAGCCCCTATTCCACCCACGATATTTCAACAATTTTTTCAAATAAAAAAAAACTGAAAAGAATGGTTAAAAATTTTAAAATGGGTTTTCCCATTGATTTAAAAAAATAAAAAAAATAAATTAATTTTTTAGTTAAATTAGTCTGGGCTTGAGTGGTTAACAATTGATAAATTCATATATATACAATGCCACATCTCAAGTCCAGTTCCTATCAACTTAATGCAAAAAGGAAACTGCCTTAGAATCACTCCATAGTCATTTAGAAACCCAAACCTAAGTACTGTGAAGAGTCTCCGGTTTCTTTGAAGAGACTTAGTATCCATTAATCATTATGAATATACAAGCTTGTCTTAAATAAACAAATACAGATGACAAAAATAGAAACGAATCACATATAGCTATAATATACTTACCATAAAATACAAGATCCTACACCTACCTTTCACACTCTCCCTCACTTAAGATGCTATGAGAAAGAGCAGCTGAAGTTTGAACACCAAGTTGCGAAAACGAGAGTTGAATCTTCAGGTGCATAATGTGACTAGTAGAAACAGTAGTTGCCATGCTCAGATTGCTCGATCAACAAACACAAAAGAGCAACATAATATGGCAGGCTGAAGTAATGACAAATCAATAATCCTTAGAAATAGAAGGCTCAAATAGAGTACATTTGAGCAAAAAATAAAAACTTCAAATCTTCTCCAGAGATAAAAACAGTCTAGATGGATGATAAAACAAAATGGTACTTGGAGAAGCCAACATAAATCAGTGCATAATCCAAGACCAATTCAACATCGTGCAGATAGACATACATGATCGAGTAACATAATAACAAACTCGATCATACATAAAAAGAATAGGATCGACTAGCATATTAAACAAACTCGATCATACATAAATGAACACAACGAATATGAATCTGGCTCTGATACCATGTGAAGAGTTTTGGGTTTCCCTGAAGAGACGCAGTGTCCATTAATCAATATTAATCTACAAACTTGTCTTAAATAGACAAATACAGATAATAAAATAAAAATAAATCACATGCACCTGTAACATACTCAGACTTATCATAAAATTCAAGATACTACACCTACAATTCCTATACATATCAACTATAGTATACACCTATAAAAATCATGAAGACAATATACATTTTCATTTCACATGTACATTGGTGTGGAATAAAAAAACCATTCTAAACTCATCAACCCTTCATGTGATTTAAATGTGATGAGAAATCTGCAAGGAAAACTCTTCTCCAGCAAATCGTAGATCCCTAAATCCAAAAAGAGAAATCTCAAAGATTCTACAGAAACCTAGAACAATGATAAACTACGGCCTCACGAAATTTCTAGATAATTTCTCTCTAGAAAACCCTAAGAAATTTTTGAATTTCTTTCTAGGAACATCTCTCTCATAAATGCATACTCACTGGAATTAGCCTATAAATATCACCAAATGATGATCATTCCGATAAATTATTAGTTGAGTCTTTCATCATGGTCAAAGCCTTTTTTTAACTAATTGGGGTTGGCTATAGGAGTTCTAGCCTGTCATCTTACTCTATTAAGGGTCATACCCTCAATGAGGCCGGTTGAATCCTGAATTTGAGTTTTATATAAGAGTTGAGAGATTCTTCCTACTTGGAGTTGAGAGATTTCCCTTATTTATTTATTTTTATTTTTTTGCTATCTAATATATTTTGTTTTTATCTCATCTTTTAGTTTTCTTGCTCTGGAATGCATCACATAGAAAGCCACCGATCCATTCTCACATGCCAAGCAAAAAAGTAATAACAAATTCACCTTGGAAACAGAGGGAACAAGCTCTACAGAGAGTTAAAAAATGGAACATCATTATACGAATGAAGTGGAAACCACCATCATATTAGAATAAAGCTTATTATTATTATTATTATTTATTTACAAAAAAGAGGTTACAATCAAACTTTGCTATTTAATGTAGAATCTGATATATTTTATTTGAGTGCAGTTGGCATACAAATGCATCCGCAGCTGTAGAGGTAAGGTGCGCCTTCAAATTTTATCATGGTATATAATTTTGATGTAAAATGATCTTAGGATTATCTAAAAATCTATTTTTATATCTAATTATAAAATTTTAAATTTCAAAAATGGTTAAAATCAAGTATATCTATAAACATATGAAATTTTTGAAAATGAACGGTATAGATAATATGTTGTAAAATGCACTATTTTTGAGACGTAAAATCTTTTTATTTTTCATGGTCATACATCTCGATATCGAGATGATCAATCAAAGGGTTTTTCAATGTTAAAACTACCTTTTTCGATGGATTTTTGAGGTGCATTCGTAGCTTTACATTATAAGGTTGCAATCTTATATAAACTTTTTCCATTTTATTTTGTATTTTATACGTAGTCCATAATATATGTTCAACCATTACATTTCACATCTAACAGTCACAACATATGCTCAACCATTGGGATTTCACATCTAATAGTCAATAATAATTCTGACGTAAATGATCTCATTATATATATAAATAAAGACAAAGTTTATTTGAGTCCTAGAACTCATATATAGAAATGAATCCCCTATTAAAAATAAATCCTTGAGACAAATTTAGGAATTGAATTTGACCGAATATATAATCTAATATCCTGTAAAAACAAATAAAATTTAAAAAACTAAAAACAATAATTTCCATGAAGAAAGTACGTAGACCTTTAGTTTTTTACTTTTTTTTAGATGCAGAAAATTGTTTGGTGCGGCCAAGCCCGTAGCCGTTACTATGCGGGCCAGAGATCTACACCTTCCACCAAAACTGGGTCCCTTAAATAAGGAAAATTGTTTCGTACGGGGTGGACCACATGACTACCTATGCGGTCCATAGAGTGTAAAGCATCCATTGTGAAGATGGATACAAGTAGGTGTTTCATCTAAAAACAATGGAAACTAACGGACAAATTGTTTTCTTACTAAAATTAGTATTTCTAGTTTTTAAAATTTACTTATTTTTTCATATTCATCATCTCTATATTAAAGTTTACATATCCTAAAAAATTAGGTCCAAGAATCCATCTCAAAAATAGATTTATTAATAGGCCCGCATTTCTACATATGCAGGCTTGGCAGCATAGAAACCGGGTCCATTAAGTCATAGTCCTTCAAAGAAAAAGTAAAATCAACGGTTCAAATATTTCTCTAAAAACTTATCATTTTTAATTTTTAAAATTTATTTATTTTTACAAATTAATAATTTTGATGTTAAAAACTATATATTTCCTTAAAGTTAGGATCAATTTGTATTTTAAAAATAAATTATTGAGGAGCTCGTATTTCTACATGTGAGTCCGTGGTCCGCATGCTAACTGCGTCCTTTAGATGCATCCATCTTAAAGATGATGTTATATGCCTCAGGGGACGCAAATGTAGAAACACGTCCCCCGACTGTGACGCATTTCTTAAGGCCTTCGTTTGAGAGAGCGAAGGGAGAGAGAGCAGCAGGGCTTCACTGTGATGCAAAGAAGTCATGCGTTGAAGCGATGCAATGCCTACTTAAACCCAAACCCTCCTCACTTCTTCTCCCCAAAACCCTAACCCTAATTCCTTCATCACTTGTACCAATTTCTTCTTTTTCTTCTTCCTTTGTTTCTCACTCAAAAATTTCTCACTCTAACCATGTTGAGGAAACTAGCCTGGTGTATCAGCAAGCCCTGAAATTCCAGCGCCCCACTGTGATAAAATGCGAGAAAGGGCTTCGGAATTCGGCTAATTTTATAGGAACCATTGGCGTTCCTGTCCAGAAGTCACCTTCGGGGAAAGGCGTCTTCACTAAAATTGGAGTCGAATGCTCTGGAAAATCCAACCGTATGATATGGTAACTTTAATGTGTTTGTTTATTCTCTTTAATTCTCAGTAATTTTAGGGCATTTTTCAGCTATTTTTTATGAAGTTATGCTAGTCCCGGTTGCTGATTATGGAGAATGATAAGAAAAAGGGGCAAATTTAACAGATTGTTGAAGTTTCTATTGCATTTGATTCAGGTAATTTTGATGTATCGATGTTGGATTTCTCGCTTCCTCCCGTTCTTTTGATTTTGAATGCATATTGACAATTGGCATGATAGGAGTGATTCCTGTTGCAATTGCCCACTTTTTGTCGATAGAGATGCATTGAATTGTTTGTTACAATTATTTTAAAAGAATTTGAATGATCAGTTTCTCTAGGTGTATTTTTAAGGCCACAATCAGTTCCAGAAGGAGTATACTCTTCTAGAAAAAGAAAAAAAAAAATTCAGATTACTCTCTCTCTCTCTCTATGTATATGTGTACGTGTGTATGTTTATATGTGTGACCATGCATCGCTATCCGTCTTCTTTGTAAAGATTAGTGCTTAGCTTCCGTATATTTCATATTGGAGAAGAAGCTCAAGTAGTTCAATTTTTATTTGTTGTTTTTTAAATCAGAGGAGAAAAGATAGAAGCGTGTTTTTACAAGTGATTGATGTCTCGATACATCACAAATAATAAAAGTTCAGAGGTCAATATGCGCTTGTGATACAACTACACAATGGTTCCAAGGTCATTATGAGCTGCATAAGTTGAGCAATCCATAATCTCTTTTGAGAGTTTGAATGAGTTTCTAAACAATCGTTGCCATGCACCTGAAGCCTATATTCATTTACTTCATATACTTTTGAGCCTTGCCCATGGAGTTTATTCTCGTTCTTTAGTCTTTTTCTTACAATAATTGATAAATCCTTTCATTATCATATCAAAAAAGAAAAAGACCTGTTACTGAGCTTTTGATTCATCTCCAGGGGTTGTGTTTGACATGAATGATGCTGCCTATGTTTTAGTGAAACTTTTGAACAGTCAATACGTATGATGGCCTCGTGGGCCAAGTTGCAATGTAGATGAGACTATTGTGCACCGTCTCTGTTATATGCCTTTATTTTGGTAGGTTTTGTTATCACTTTGAACTTGGTTGAGATGTGCTTGGTGTTGCCATTTTGAACATTTGGATAGGAGGCATCACTGCACCCATGCATTGCACTAGGCCTATGTAGACCAGTGTGGGACGGTGACTTTGGGTGGCCAACTAGTCACCCAGGGCACCGCCTATGCGGGTGCCGAGCGCCTGGGCGCGTCATGTACCCACCCTGGGCCCTTTTGCCAAAAGGGCAAAAATAGTCATCTTCCTCCCTTGAAAAGAGGGGAAATAGTATTTGGGGGTACTTTGGTCCCCCAAAAACTTAGACAACCAAAAAAAAAAAATTTAGCTCAAAATCCAATTTTTTTTTAAGTATCGAATTTGAATTTGAAGTTTTCGATTTCATGTGAAATCGAGAGGCATTCGACCCAGAACCTTTTTGGTTTTAAAGAGGTTGCAAAAGAGAGCTTTTGGCAACCAAAAGTGACCAATTCAAGCCTACTTTAATTTGTTTCAGAAGGTTAGTAAATTTAACTGTCTAAGTTTAGGGTTTCATATTTTTTGTGAGTATTGTGTTGTGTTTTTTTTTTATCATTTTCTTGTGTTTATTTTTTAAGTTTGGCTTAACATTTATTTCTACGGTTCCATATTTTTGGCTATGTTTGGCTTTGTTTCTAATTTATGATGCTAATGGATGTAAAATTATCTAGTGCTTTGAATGTTGGAACTTTGGAATGTGTTGAACTTTTACTTTTGAACTTTGAAGAAATGTTTGAAATGCAAATGGATGTACATTTGTGTTATTTGACTTTTTATTTTGGCTTATATGGCCAATAGATGTAAAATTTTAGGCAATTTCAAATTTTTTGTTTTTTTAGACACGTAAATTTTAGTTAATAGAGAAATAGGTTTGAAATTTGAACCCACCCACCCAAAAAAAAAACACACGCAGTGGTTGCCTAGGCAGTTGGGAACCCCAACCGCCTCCCTCTTCTTGAACATTGGGGAACACCATTCCTGTCCCTTAGAGTTGAGATTCTTGTCTGCATGTTGTAATTTGTTGTAGCTTGTTGTACTTTTTTCTCAATCTAATAAAATGTCACTTGTAAACAGAGAAGAAAAATTAAGTGGGGTCAATTTTGATGAAGCTTTCATTGAAGGAATGGTTGAGATCTTGGAGTCCTCATTTTATATGGAAGTGTTTTGGGTGTTATAAGAGTCATGAGAGGGACACCTAGCATACTTGGATACTTCGAAATCGGCCTCATATGGGAGTTGCAGAATCATTAAAATTGCAATCATCAATTAACTATGAATAAGAGAGCTAGGATAGGATGTGCACATGTGCCCATAATCAATAAAAATTTCTAAAAATAAAAAATAAAAAAATAAAAAAAAGATTATGGCAATTGACCATTAACTATCATTGAGATCGCTCTTAGAACTGCCTTGTGTCAGCAAGGAGAATTGGCATTCAGTTGCATTATTGTTCTTGAACTATATTTGAAGAATCCTATTTTAAGTTTAAATCCTCCGTAAAGTTGTTGGGGAAAATGTGGGTTTCATGCTTACTAGATGTGATTTTTTTATACCCATCATTTTGTAATTCACGGTTCTTTTTTGTTGGCCATCTTTTTATGTTCATGGATCGTAAGAAGCTGTTCTATATAAATTGTTCTATCACAAGTTACAGTCTAAGTTATTTGAGATTTCTTCTCTGAATTCGTCAGTATTCTCCAGCCTAACTATCTATATAAATGTCCAATCATTGAACAGGATTCTTCTAGAGATGAGAGCTAAACTGGCAGAAATAGCATTACAGCATTTGCAGCCTTTGGACCTTGTATATGTCTCTGGTCATCTAACTTCTTCCCCCAAGGATGATGCTCAGGGTCTTTCCCAGAGATCATATAAGGTTTATCGCCATTAAAGCACAATTGTTTGCATGAAGAATTTCATTTTTGTAGCTGAGAGGTTCTTGTTGTCATTTATTGTAGCTTCATGATTGTGTATTTGTCTCTTAGTGTAATCATCCAATAATTGCTATATACTGCCAACTGTTATATGTTTCATGGGTTGCATTGGTGAGCTATTATTAGGTCATCTATAGTGGCTACGTTTGATCTTGAAAAGGATTCAAAATAATAAATGCCTTAAATGGGTTTTTATCTGAGACTCTTTGGAAGTTAATCGTGCTAAACCAGAGCATTCCAGATGCAAAAATGAGTTGTAATCATGTAATGTAGATCATTTGTGTGCATATATAAGGTCCAAATGACCAAAATACCATTGAGGATTGAAATGACAAATACCTTTAATTACATGTACGTTCACTAGTGTAGACAAATGTACTTGTAACTCTCAAGACGTCGCACCCTTCTTCAAAGTTTAAATTGAACATTAAACAACTAGACGGTAAGTGACTCTGCATTTCGTAAACAAAGTTGCAGTTTTCTCAAAGAAATCAAATAGGGAAGATCAACAAAACATGCTAATGTTCTCTCTCAGTATTGTAATTTCAAACTTCATTATGTTTCTTTTTCTCACGAAGGACATAATATGAAGAAATGTTAGGAGTTGTAAGGTTATCTCCACAAATTGGAGCATTGCATGAATTTTTAATGGCTGGACCAACTTGTCCATCATGGAGCATGTTTTGTAGCAAACAGGCCCAGAAAGCCTCTACTCTGCTGAACTTTTTATCGATATCTTGCTCCTTACAATGTTAATGTACAAGCTAGTCTCCCAAAAGATACAATAACTAGATGTGGCCTATTTTGTGTTACCAACTTTACCATAGCCTGCTGAGTGTAAGGTTACATCTTACTAACCAAGGATTTGATAAGGAAGGCAGGACAATGCTACGAGTCAGCATTTCTTTGATATATGTCATTATACGATGGATTACAATAATACAAGTCATCCTGGGAAAGTGTAAGCAAGTTACGCGTACATCAGGAGATAACTCTTGGTTGGTATTAGTGATATTAAAGGCCTATATGTTGTTGTATATGGAAGGTCTACTTCATCATTTGAATCCTGAACTTCACACTCGTAGGTGTACTACCACCTCATTATTGGTGTGTCAAAACCTAGATCCGCATCCTACATGTACCCCATCCCATTCTATTTGCATGTATGCTCACACCCAGAAAATATGACATAATTAACATTATCTTCCATCAAAGACAGCTATTGTGAGATCATGTTAGAATGAGACATGGTGGAGGCATCATTTACTACAATTAGATTATCATTCAACGGGGGAATGGAAGTGGTAATAAGATTGCCCGCATAACTAAGATTACATCTTATGACACATTGAATTATTTCCTCCCGGAAGTGGAATGTCCCACAAATATTAACTGCTAGAAGGTTAATTGCCTGGTAACTCAAAATTTTAACCAAATTCTAGTTGCTTGTTGAAGTTAAGAACACTCTAATTAGTCTACTGATTAGAGAAAAATTTAATAAGTAGCTTGATGGAGTTTGCAAGTTGGATAACCACATGAAGATATAAGGTCTATTCTCGATTTACATTAACAGATACTAGAAACCCAGACAGTGCTATGCTTTGCTACTGTGCAAAATTTATTCTCACAGCTATTATGTACTCTCATGCAGCGCTTGGTTACTGCCTATAGGACAAGCCTTTGTCGAATTTTTTTTAACCGTAAGTAGTACCTTACCAGCTAGAACTTGTATATGGTCCTAGTTATGGTTTTGCATGCCTGGCTACCAGCTAGAACTCTCTACTCTTTATTCTTTTTTATATAAGGAGGTCATTATTGCATGGACATAAGGGGAAACAAAGGCATGTCATTGACTTGAGGAGGATTTAAAACCATAATGAAAAGGAGCAAAAAATGAGATTGAATGACAGAGCGAACCAAAAGACTAGGAGAATGTTCTTATTGTCACTTCTCAGAATCCTCAATCAGATTGCATTGTAAGGTAGAGGACAATAAATCGGCCATTCTTTTTGTTATTGTCAGTATGTTTTTATGAGTTCTTCTACGACAAGTCTTTAGAGGTTCTAGATGCTTGTGTTGATTTGCTGCTTTGTCCCCCCAATTGGTTCAGATTTTTATGTGTCTAAAACAAATGGAATATGTCAAAACTCAATAGCAATAGAGAAACAACTCGGAATGAGGAAAACCTCTTTTGGAAATGAAATTGATCTGACTTTTAGCCACTTAGTGAATGACTACGGGATCCAACACCAAAGTCCTTTTTTATCTATTGCATATTCCAGCAAAGCACATCTCACAGCCCTTGATGGCTTAGAACTCTCGCACAAAACTAGACATACACTGACATACTTGAAAACTCTGACATGTAAATGTTTCTTCCTTGCAAGACATTCAACGGGAGTAGAACTTTATGAAATAGATATTCACCAACAAAATCCAATGCATGAAATTTAACTGCATCGCAAAACTGGAAAGTACATGATTTATGACTATGGAAAACCATTGGTCGTGATCGTCTGATGAAATGATGAGAAGTGAGTGTGGAACCCCCACTGGGATCATGTTGTGTTCCATTGATCTTTCTCTCTGTCACCGTCTATTATTTCAATGGACAGTGTTGACGACTGGGGTGTGGTTGTTCAGCCCTTGGATTATAATATAGTTTACCCTAGAAATGGCTTTATTGCAAAGTGACTGTCTCATGCATCAGTCTTGGTGCTGCCTCTCTTCATAAATGGTTATTTTTGCTCCTGGTAAGTTCCCTTCTGGAATCGTTTGCTTCTTACTATAATGGAATTGCCATGGAACTGCACCAGTTAATTGTTCATGACATTATGCTGTTGACACAGGTCCTTGTAAATGATCTAAACTTTGTTAAGCGTGACATTCAAGATGAAATCTACCGCAAAGACATGAATTTAGAGCTGAAAATAGAGAGTAAAATGCCTTCAGGTTAGTTACCTACTGCCTTAAAATGTTTATGTGGTACTTCATTCAACTATGGAATAATATTCTCTCTCTGAATATGTGATTGGTTTATCATATATAGTTAGGATATACAGAATATCAGTAATTTTAACTCTTGCTTTTTACAATATTTTGTTGCCTTGGTCAAATAACAAACCATACCCATTGTGAAGTGCAAAAAAAGGGAGGGAATACGTCATGTCCAAAAAATTGGGAACATTCTTCAACACAATGGAAATCATGGTAAACTCCATGTGCATAAATAGAACACGATCTCTTGAAGTCCTGTTTTTCTGATTACGAAGAATACTTGTGGGTTGTGTTTTAGGTGCGAAGGATCAAGACAAGGATAGAGAACGACTGCATTTATGGCAATTTTTTTTGGCTGACCCCTCAGAATGGTGGGATAACAGGGGATGCAAGGTATAGCCATAGTGATCCATTATAAAAGGGAAAAATATAGTAGAATTAAATGCAGTATGATAATGTAGCGCTACAAGGGAGCATCCACCATTTGCTCTTAATGGTGGATGGTGGAGATTAACTGCACCTGAGAAATGCCAGGTGGGTCGCATTATGCTCAATTTCCACCATCAATCATCAAGAATAGGTGGTAGATGCTCTTTTAGAATACTGTATACCTTAATACATATGATTTTGGTACTCCTTCTGGAAAATATTTTTCTCTGCTAGCAATCAGGAATTCACAGAAACCAAATTATTTCTTTAAGGGAAATTTATCGAAGTTTCCATAAAAGATTAACTGTTTAACATTCTACCATTTGTAACTATTCCAACTCAAGATCTTGTGTTTTTCTATGGGTATTTTGAAATTAAATCAAAGAATATCGGTAAGATGTTAAATTGTTCATCTCTCGTGGGTAATCTAATAAATTTCTCCTCCTTTTATGAACAGAAGTATAGGAATGGTGCAGATTTTGTACACAAGAACACTCGTGAAAAATTGAGAATCATGCCTAATGACCCACCCTGGGTGAGATCTCAGTTGCAGCGTCTGGACCTCCAAAAAGCTGAGTTTGAGATAAACCAGAGAACCAATGATTCAGCCTTTTCTGATTGGAACATCTGAGAGAGAAAGTGGTTATTATGGTCACTACAGGAGAATTTATAAGATAATTGGTACGATGCTTTGGAATTGAGATAAAGTATTGTCAGATACAAATGGAGATTGCGCTTCAAAGTTCTAAGTTCAAAGCAAACACAAATAGAATTGCGTGGAGCGATTCCTGAAGGCTGTCCCACCCTTTTTAGCAGAGGTGGTTCTCTCTCTCTCACCCACACATTGTACCTGGATAATCTGTTTGAAATTGCAGTCACATTGTATCTGGATAATCCGTTTGAAATTCTAGTCACATTGTCTCTGGATAATCCGTTTGAAATTACAATCACAATCCATGTATTTTTATTCAAGCCATTTGAAGTGAAATATTCTACCCTTGAGAAGATGGTCTCTCTCTCTCTCTCTCTCTTCGGTTACATGTCCAGTTTTTCAGATTCAATGTAGAACAAGATGGATGGCGAAGTGTTAAATGCGCGTTGAGTTGCCCATTTCAAAGTTCACGCAAACCATTTTTGTTACTGGATGTGATTATTGTAGGTTTTGCCAATTCAAATTGGAATTGACCATCATGCAATCCAGTCTTGCCCTTCAATCAAAAGAAGCCATGATTACAATTAAATAAACTCTCAAGATCGTGGACAACTCATGGACTCTTCAAGTTAAAAAGAAAAAGATATTTGACTCTCTTTACACAATTTTTTATCGTTCAAATTATAATATTTATTATTTTTATTTGTATTTAGTGATCCTATTGACCAAACCCTAGAAAAATCCACCTTTTGTCTTTCTCTAGCTCACTCAACCCTTTCCTCCTCCTCTTTATCACTCTCCCTTGAACCCCTGTCTCTCTCTCATCTCGTGACCTTCATAAGTAGGTTAAAATCTCTCTCTCATCTCGTGACCTTTGTATGTAGGTTAAAAGAGGCATCTCAATTTCTAGTTATATAATGGATTGTTTAGAGAAAAGAAGAGGGGTAAATGTTCGACAATAAAAAAGGTAAAAAGAGGGTTAAACGTCCTATTCTAACTTGGAGGGGGTTCTATGAGCTTTTTATTTTATAGATCCTAATGTTTATTTTGGAATAGACTAATGATAAACATTTTTTTTTCTTAACAAAATTCTCATTTTTCAACCTTTGTGATTGTGTATTTTCCCAAGGTCGTCAGATTCCCTTCGGCCTAATGTCTTCGGATTTTAGGCTTAGATTGAAGTGAAGCAAGGCTTGGTGCTGCCACTTCGGTATATAGATATAATCACAAATATATCCACTTTTTAACCGTGGCTTAATAATGTAGTATAGTATATATAGATACATGGATATGATTGCATATGCTATGCTCCCACTGGAGTATATGTTGTGCATCTATTCCCTCGCGCGCAAAACACCTATTTAGGATAATTGTTATAGTTTAAATTTTTGGGAAACACATAATAATTACTAGATGCGTATTTTTTAAATAACAAAATTGAATTTTGAGTTTTGTGAAACCTAAATCTAGCCCTTCAAAAATTAGACGCTTTCAATCTTGAGGAACTAATCTTTTCTGGCACATAAAGAGCTTATTTTGGAAAAAAACTTTGTCGAGGTTATTCTATGGGTTGTAGAAATCACATCCTCAAAAATTGAGATCTAAAAAGTACCCCTAACATGTATTTACCCGAGGGAGATGGGTTGTAGAAATCACATCCTAAAAATTTGAGATCTAAAAAGTACCCCTAACATGTACTTATCCGAGGGAAATAGATAGTAGGCTCCCGAGGGAGTAGAAAATCTTTTAGCTATGTATATCGTTACCCAAAAATATGCAATAGGTATATGATCACCCACTATTTCGAGTGGAGATTCAAAGGGTTGGTATTCTGGCTCAGTTTTGTATACCTATTTTCTATCATTTGAGGTTGCCATTTTGGCTCACTCTTTTTATATTATATCGATAATACTTTAATTTTCTTCATTTTAGTATGCGGTTTTAGATTATTTATAAAGGTGTACAATGTACTCCCGCTGGAGCACATTGCACTCGTCCGGGTTAAAACTTAATAGGGTTATGTGGAAAACAAAATCAACCTTTACAAAAAAAAAATCCTTGATCTCTCTATCGTTTGGGTCACATCTTACAAAGGGGCCCATAGGACATTTATGAAAATAGTGCGAACTTCTAAAATATCAAGGAAAAACATGTTTGTTCTCATCTAGTGATTTTCTTTTTTGTCTCATCTAAAGGTTGGAAAAATATCTATTTTATTATCTATTTGTAATCAAATAAAATACGAAAAAAAATATAGGAAAAATATCTATTTTAGTATCTATTTGTAATCAAATAAAATAAATAATATGGGAAAAGATGAGATTAGCCTACTAGCTCATATAAACATATGCACTCAACGACCCATATTGAATATAGGCCGATTTGATGGTCACGGATGTCCGATAGTACTTGAATTTTATTTTATTTTTTATAGATCCAAATTACTTGAAATTTTACGTGTATGTTCTTTTCATCAAGGCGCACCTAATAAAAATATAAAGAAAATTATTCGTGAAAAAAATAACCAAAATACCCCCTGAAATGTTTTGGGGGTATTTTGGTCAATTTATTTCATGTAAAATATTTTTTTAATAATTTTTTAAAGATTCAACTATTTTTTATGAACACATGCCTAAAATTTCAAGTGATTTGGATTTATAGAAAAAAAATTAAAATTTAAATACTACCGGACATCTGTGATCATCAGATCGGTCTATATTCAATCTGGGACATTGGGCTCATATGTTCATATGAGCTAGTAGGCTAATCCCATCTTTCCTATATATATATATATATATATATATACAATACGCGATATTTATAATGTCAAAGTAAAGTACATCAGGGAAAAGGGCTAGGGTCGTGTTGGTAGTACCCCACACCTTAGTCACCATGTTGTGGTTTCTATTCTCACTCCTAACATCACCCCACTAATACTTTAAAAAAGCTAACTCCTAATCTACTTGGAAAAATGGGTAAGGGTTTCAAATGATTTCTATTCCCACCCCTAATACGACCCTACTAGTACTTAAAAAAAGCTAACTCCTAATCTACTTGAAAAAACAGGGGTAAGGGTTTCAAATGAAAAAGGTTGTTTTGATGCTAGAAATCCTCCCGTTGTTCATGTTGACCTCGAGATATTTCAAGTCCTAAAATTAGTTGGCCTTGAGATATTTCAAGTCCTAAAATTTGTTCATGTTGACCTTGAGATATTTCAAGTCCTAAAATTAGTTGACCTCGAGATATTTCAAGTCCTAAAATTAGTTGACCTTGAGATATTTCAAGTCCTAAAATTAATGCAAGACTGAGACCAAGTTAGATAACCTATATTTTTTCTAGAAATAATTTTGTTAAAATACACTGTAGCATTAGTTTATAACCTAATATCAATATAAGCTCATTTGGGTGGAAAAGCCTATATTTATCAATGGGTGTGGTTTATATAAGCTGAGGCACTAAACAATCAAAGGCACACCCTTAAATAGTGACAAAATATATTATTTTAGTATCAACAAACATTTTGATGGTTTGAAAATTCATTTTCATCTTTAATGATAAATTTTAAATATTAAAAAATAGTGTAGATCGAGTGGATCAATGAATACTTGAAAATTTTGAAAATTAACAATCTAAATAATACAAGATGGACTATTTCCAAGATTTGAAATCATTTTTTTTAATATCTAGATGTCGAGATAATCGAATTGAGGGTTTTTTTTAGCATTAAAACAACCTCTTCTAATGAATTTTTTAGGTGCACCTTAATTTGATAGTTTAGGACCTCACCCTTATATAAACATTTTCTTTTATCAATTGATTTTAAAGTGTTAGATATCTGGTTTCATTACATTCAAAGCAAGAAAAAGGTCAAATTTTTAACCAAAGAACTTAAGACATAGATTTGTACTAAAACTCAATTTTGGAAAAGGAACATATATTCAAATCAATAATAATACTTTCCAAATCTTTGTCCCAAGAAATAGTGAAAATTAGTATTTCAAAAATATTTTGAGAATTATTACCTCTCAAAGAGAACAACCCCTACTCAAATAGTACCCAATTCTCCAATAAAAATGGACAAGAAATACAAGAAACGAGTACCATGGGCATTTTACACCCCTTTATCTATGTTTTTTTAAAGAAAGCACAATATTGATCATTTGTAATTTCGAAATATTTTTCATACGTTTACAAAGTATGAATGTAATAAATTTAAGCTTAGTTTGATGCACAGGAAAAGAGATGAAATTAAAATAAAGAAAAGGCACCCCCCATCTCTTATTTTCCTCATTTATTCACTTTTGACCATAAAAATTAGCTCCAATAAATTGTTTTATTCCATCTCAATCCAAAAACCTTTTTAACTATATTTTGCACTTTTTCAACCCGAGCTCTTTTTTCTTTTCCCGTGTTTTCATTAACGCCTAAAGATTTCACCGTACCCCTTATCTCTTATTTCTCTCTTTCATTCACTTTTGACTATAAAAATTAGCCTTAACATATTGTTTTATTCCATCTCAATCCAAAAACCTTTTTAATCCTATTTTGCACTTTTTCAACCCCGTCTCTCTCATCTCTTTTCCCTGTTTTCATTTTGAGGTGTGCTCTAATTTGGTTGTTTAGAACCTAGGCTCTATAAAGAAGTAACAAAAAAAATTCTAAAAACATATAAGAAATCAAAATTATATTTCCTAAAAAAATATTCTTAATTTGGAATCACATGCTTGTAATATGAGAAATAACATAGTTTTGTTGTGATACATAGTTTTGTTGTGATAAGTTTCTTTTTTTTTTCTCCCCTTTTTTTTATATATTTATAGAGCTTTTTTTTCTCCACATAACTGCCACTTAATGTATGATGCAAACATTTTAAAACTTTTTTTCCTTATTTTTATTTATTTATTTATTTATTTTATTCATAGGCTTTTCAAGCACATTTCTATATAACTTCCACCTAATTTGTAATGCTAACATTCAAAAACTAAAAGTTGATATGCACCTAATTTGTAATACTAACATTAAAAAAAACTAAAAGTTGATATGTTACGGTATTGGAAGATACTCTAATTTGTGAGGCTAACATTAAAAAACAACTAAAAGTTCAATATAAGTTTGTTCCGTGAAAAAAGCTTGATTACAATGTGGTATATAATATGTTAGGAGATTGGAAAAGACTGAAGACGGATGTCGATTTTAATTATTATTTTTACTTGGTCTAGAACCTAGCTCGGCTCAAACCAACCTTAAAACCCGATTGTTTTTTGAGTAAAAACATCATTTTCATAATAAGAGACACCATTTTTATATATAAAAAAAGAAAGGATACCTACAAGCGTTGGGAAGACATTTACGGTTGAAAAATGAAGCTCATTCATGGTTGAAAAATCAAGCTGGTAAATCGCATAGGCCCTTATAAGAGATGAGGGGTACAATGGGTTTCATTATGCCGTTTGAGAAATGATCCTACAGTACCTCCCTTTATTCATGTGCGTTGGACTCAAAAATTCATTATTAAATTTGGCATACATATTTAAAAAAGTCAAATCTCACATCTGCGATAATTTTTATAGAGATTCGTGTCAAATTTAATGATAATTATTTGGGATCCTACACACATGAATGGGAGAAAGTTCTTTAGGATCATTATCCATATTTATTTTATATATATTTCTAAACAGTAACGATCTTACGAGATCTTTTCACTCTTATATATGTAGGATTTTAAATGATTATCATTAAATTTGACACATATATCTAAAAAAAGTTATTATATGAGTATGAGATTTTACTTTTTTTTTTTTTTAATATATATACAAAATTTAATAATGACATCATTACTCATTTCGAAACACAAGATAAAGGCGTATATTGAACTAGAAAAGGCATGAAAATGTCGGCATTTGTCCATTCAACGTTGTTTTTCACTACAAAATTGCAAATAAAAAGTGAATATTAATAGGAGCGATTAAAAATAATGCGAATCGGGCGCTCCCATTGGCTGCTATTTCGTGGAAAATGCCACGTGGGACTGCTACATAGCTCTGTTGACCAAGCTCTTTCTCTGCTCTTGTATTTATCCTCTTTCTCTGCTCTTGTATTTATCCTTCCATCTAGATTTCTCTTATATTTACCCTTACATCTAGGTCTGCTCTTGTATTTACCCTCTTTCTCTGCTCTTGTATTTATCCTTCCATCTAGATTTCTCTTATATTTACCCTTCCATCTAGGTGAGTGAAAATCATTTCCAGCGTTTTCTCTTAACCCTATTTCCTCTTTTTCCACAAACGATTGCACAGATCTTCTAGGATTTCATTTCTTCTTGGATTGAACTCGTTTCTCTTTTACTTGGTGCTGGTATCTGCAAATTCTGCCGTAATTTCAACGATTTGGGTATCAGATCTGCAGATTTGGAGGTATGTCTATGAATCTATGGTGAGACTTGGGTTTAGATCTTACTTTTTTAAGATCTATGTTGACGGTATGTCTATGAATCTATGCTGAGACTTGGTTTTAGATCTTAATTTTCTCAGATCTATGTTGACTTAGGGTTTCTCTGTGTTAATATTAGGGTTTGAGTTTTTTATGATGGTGATATGTCTGGATCTAGTGATTTTTTGGTTTTGTTTCGTGACTCGATTGAGGTTACCCATTTTGATGGAGGTTACGTATTTTGATGGAGATGTTTCCTGGTAATGGATAATTACCTATTTTGATGGGGATATTTCCTGTCACTGGATAATTATTCAGGTGTTTGTTTATTCTGTTGATGCGTGGTAATTAATTAAGTTTTTATGTGCGAGTCTATGCGCTTTTGTTGCAACAGTGAATTTATGGAAGAATCATTTGCAGTTTTTTCGTTGGCAATATCATTTTTTTGTTAAATATTGTTTGTTTTTCTGTGTTCTTATTTTTCATTTGTTTCCTGTTTACTTGAATAACTCTGCAAATGATAGAATATCTTGGATTATTTTTATCTCGTTCAATATCTGTTTATATTGGCTAGCACATGCATATAATTTTCTGAAGAATCCATTTTCATAAATGTTTTCAGACATTTTTTATTAAAAACATGATAAGTCTCTCTCTCTCTCCCCCCTCCACATCCCCCCTCCTCTTCCAAAACCCCACGGGGAGGAAAAAATTGGTCTGAGTAACTGGCAATGCTATAATTCATGTTGTTTAGTTGTGTTAAGCTGTATAAATGATTATAGCATATTTAACATTCTCTGGTTTTTACGGTCTTTTGGAAAATTTGCAAATGCTTTTTTTGGGGTAAAAGGGAAATAACGCCTCTATTTGAAGTTACAGGTGTTTAGGCTTTGATTATAATCACTGAAAGAAAAAAGGAAAAAGTTTATATAGAGCCAAAGCTCTAAACAATCAAATAGAGCTGACCTAAAAAATTTCACTAGAAGAGGTTGTTTTGATGCCCCAATATCCTCAAATTGATCATCAAGATGCATCGACATGAGAAAAAAATGGATTTCTTTTATGGAAATAGTGCATCTTGTAACCATTTTTGGACTGTCAATTTTCAAGATTTTCTAGTTTTCATAGATATGCTATCTACATTATTTTTGAAGCTTTAAATTTTATAATTAAAGATGAAAATTTATTTTAAGGCTATCACAAACCACATTTCTCGACACTATTTGAAGGTGCGCTTTACTTTGATTGTTTAGAGCCTCGGCTTTATACAAACCGCACCCAAGAAAAAAACGAACTCTATTTTGACTTTATAAAGCTTGTATCAACTTAGACTCATCCTGTTGGCGAGATTCATAGATGAAATCTTGGGGGTATTAAAATCAAGATCTGGTGATATAACTCAAGGTCTTCCAAAACTTGAACAAGTGTTAGAAGTTCGTTCGATTGATTCATATCGATGAACCTAGAAAAGAGGGTTGAAGGCTGGAACGAACGCATAACATGATTTCTTGGAATTCCTTGGGAATTCTTTATTAGTGCTCCGCTAACCATAGTGCAAAGTTGTATCTCTTTGGTTAATAAGATCCAAAAGGTTTATCGATCCCAGGGAGTGCAGATCCATAATAGACATATAGAAACTATTGTACGACAAATAACATCAAAAGTCTTGGTTTTGGAAGATGAAATGTCTAATGTTTTTTTACCCAGAGAACTAATCGGATTGTCCATTTTTCTGTTCTATATGAGTTTTATGTAATTTAGACATACAATGATCAAAGTATTATTATATAATGTGGTAGGATGCAGTTTAATTTTGGTGAGAAGCTAAGTTCAAATGCCACAATGTGAAAACTTGGTTTTCTGTTTCAAATTATTCACACAATTTAAAAAACTGACTGAATTTTTCCAAAATGACTGTTTAGCTTGGCAAATTGACTTGTTTTTTTCAGTGGCCGAGTTGGCTTGTCAGTGACCAAGTTGGACACCGACCTGGAGTTTTTTGATACTGCTTGGTTTCTGGATCAACCACTAAAGTGCCGTTAATTCTTTTTTTTTTTTAACAAAATAGTGCATTCTGCAATGTGTTGGTCTGTGACCATTTTTTAACCTCACCTATTTGAGAAAGTTGCATACAAGCCTCTAAATCGATATAACCTCACAACAAAGAACTTGTTTTTGCTTTCATTCAGATTTAATGCTAGTCATAATGCACCTAATCGGTCAATCAAAATTAGCGTTGTGAACTTGTGATTCTTTGTAAAAAGCAAGGGGTTTGTGCTCCCTTTTTAAAGTTACTTGTAGTTCGGGCATTCTTATAATACCTTTCGTTAAAACTCTTCATAAACTTTTGTTGAGGAAAATGTATGATTGTGACGGCATAATTATGACTCCTCTAAATGTAACGTATACTTTGCTGAAGTTTATATCTTCTGCCCCATCATCAGGAGAAAAAATGCCAGGGGGAGGATTTCGGGTGCTACATCTTGTCAGACCATTTTTGTCGTTCTTGCCTGAGGTTCAAAGTGCAGAGCGCAAAGTTCCCTTCAGGGAGAAGGTCCTGTACACTGTGATTTCTCTGTTCATCTTTTTAGTATGCAGTCAGTTGCCTCTCTATGGAATACACTCAACCACTGGTGCAGATCCATTTTATTGGATGCGTGTGATTCTTGCATCAAATCGTGGAACTGTTATGGAGCTTGGAATCACCCCAATAGTCACTTCAGGTTTAGTGATGCAACTATTGGTTGGTTCAAAGATAATTGAGGTTGACAACAGTGTGCGTGAAGACCGTGCTCTTATGTGAGTATTTGCAAGAGAAAAAATTGATAGAATTTTTGTTTGTAGTATTTTCTGTTAACTATTACTTTTGGTAAATTTAATACATAACAAATTTATAAATCTGGAACTATGTTTTGCAAGAAAATGTTATCAAATGCTAACATAAGTATTTGTCTTATGCAATACGTGTGGGGTGTTCACCTCAGTAGCTTTCAGAATTGCAGATTTGTCTAGGCCTAGTAGCACCCCCTTTTTTCAGGGAGAGCATTACTACACTAAGATCTATTATATATATTTGAATTCGCCAAAGCTTTGGCTTTCTGTTTTGCTTGCTTAGTGGTTCCTATTGGATAATAGACAGGCCGAATGTGGTGACTGATTGTTTACAATTATGCTTGTAAAAGGTCCAGTGGTTCATGTAAGAACTGACATTTTGAACTAGACTATGGCATTTAAAATTGCTGATATTGATTTATCATGGTAAAGTTTCTAGGTTTTTCTAGCTTATAATGCTTACTACTGTGAAGTTGTCGTACTTCGCTGTGGACCTCATTTTGTACTTTTTGGGATCTACATAGCAATTTTCTTATCATCTTTCATAAAAATATACTGTTTTCATATTTATTAATTGGCAGATTTTATATTTGTTATTTGGTAAACCATTTCTAAATTATCATCAATCTTCTTTCCTCTTCAACATCATGGATGCCTTAAGTTTGCTCCTTTTATCCCAATCTTGGGTCCTAGCTGCCAAATAGCATACATGGAAATCCATACCACTCCCAAACCTTTTGTTCAGGATTTTTGTGTTTACATCTGGATTATAGTTAGTTTCTTTTGAACGTCTTGATTTATCATCCTTTCTTGATAATAGAAAGCCTCTAATCCTTCTTTTTTCATTTCAGGAATGGTGCGCAGAAGTTGTTGGGTATCCTTATAGCCATCGGAGAGGCAGTGGCTTATGTTTTATCTGGAATGTATGGTAGTGTCGGCCAACTCGGTGCAGGGAATGCCATCCTCATAATCCTTCAGCTCTTCTTTGCTGGTATCATCGTCATTTGCTTGGATGAGCTTCTTCAGAAAGGATATGGTCTTGGTTCTGGCATCTCTCTCTTTATTGCCACCAATATCTGGTAGGTCCCACCATATAATAGTTTGGTTCTCTCTTGCAAACTCATGTATATAATTGCTTATACATTTTTTATGACTGTGCAGTGAAAATATCATTTGGAAAGCATTTAGCCCCACAACCATCAACAGTGGAAGGGGAGCTGAATTTGAGGGTGCTGTCATTGCCTTGTTCCATCTTCTGATAACTCGAACTGACAAAGTCCGTGCCCTTCGAGAGGCTTTCTATAGGCAGAACCTTCCAAATGTGACAAACTTGCTTGCCACTGTGTTGGTCTTCCTTATTGTTATCTACTTCCAAGGATTCCGTGTTGTTTTACCTGTGAGGTCAAAGAATGCACGTGGACAGCAAGGATCATATCCTATTAAGCTCTTCTACACTTCCAACATGCCTATTATTCTACAGTCTGCTCTTGTTACCAATCTCTACTTCATTTCTCAGGTATCTTATTACATATCTGCATGGGACTAGCTAAAAAAAGATGTATCTTGTTTGTAACTAAGATTAATATTTTAATTTCAACTATAAAAGGTGTATCTTTTTTGTGTTTCTGCAGTTGCTTTACAAGAAGTACAGTACTAATTTCCTTGTGAACTTGTTGGGCAAGTGGAAAGAATCTGAATATTCAGGTGGCCACTTTATTCCTGTTGGTGGTCTAGCCTACTACATTACAGCACCCTCAAGGTGATCAATTACTTTGTTTCCCCCCCCCCTCTTAATGGGCCTCTCTCTCTCTCTCATTTAATATTTACTAATCTCTCCTAATAAAATCTGGATGTACTATTTCCAGCTTGGCTGATATGGCTGCCAATCCGTTCCACGCGTTGTTTTATATTGTGTTTATGCTGTCGGCCTGTGCGTTGTTCTCCAAAACTTGGATAGAAGTGTCTGGATCTTCTGCTAGGGATGTGGCTAAACAGCTGAAGGTAATTAAACCCTAAACCTTGTGCTTGCTGAATGCAGTCACAGTTTGGTATGAAGATCATTCTTTTAGCATCTTTTGAACAGTGCCACGTTATTCAATTTGTTTGTGTTTAACGTCAAATAAATTGGTTTGTTCAAGGCAATTGCAGTTTTGACTACATTACTGTCTGGTATGCGTTCCATATTTTGGTCTCCCTGAGGTCTTGAACAAGCTGAATGCACAATTTATGTGCTATGCATTATTCTGCACCACGACCTTTTTCAGTTGGATTTTTTAAGATAACCAATCTTTGGTGAAGAATTTGAAGTGGCATTATGTCTAGATTATGTTTCCTAGATTGATTTTTTTCAATGTACTGAACACGAAGTAGGTTCCAATGCTTTTAGTATGGCCAACATGAACTTGATACTAAGTGAACGTTCTCCTAAAAAAAAAAAAGAACTAGATAATCTCAATAAATTAAGGCTCTAGTATTAATCATTTTTTAGAGGGTCAGGGAGTCTGATCTTGGTGATTAGGGCAGTGAAACCACTTGCCAACCCCCAAATGCCCCCACCCAAAAAAAAATGAAAATGAACTACTCAAAACTGTGGGTGATCCATGATGGTTGTATTGTAAAATGATGTTTCGCTATATGCTTGGCTTGTTCCCACCTGTTGGGTGTACCAGTGATGTAATGCCCATTGCTTATTCATTTGTATGGCAGAATATTTTTTCACTTGTCAAAAAAATTTATTTTTTGTGGGGCATTTTTGCCATCCTAGACACCGGAGCTTAGGTGAACCCATGCCTACCTTTCTACCTGTGATTGCCTGCAAAGCCTCTAGTCATATGATGAAGTACACTTTCTGGGTTGATCAAAGGCTTGGTATTGCACTAGGTTCAGCATTGATGTATCACCTTTAGTTGGCTGACAATATTATGTAATTTTTGGACATATTTCCTGAGTAGGTCTATGATATGCATTTGGATGAATGAGGTAACTGATGTAAAAGTCTTATGATGGGGCTAGAAGAGGAATTTGCTTTGCTGGTTCTATGCTTGGACCTGAAAAATTCAGAGCTGAGACTTCACTGAGCGTGTGTATGAGGCTGACTCCATCAATGTGTGTGATACTTGTGTGCAATAAGTTCCATTTTGTGGTTCTTTATGTGATGGTAAGTTTAATTATCAATCTTTTGGGTTCCTCTAAAGTGATGGAAGCGAGTTAAGCTATGATTTGGTTGGATGGGAAAATGAATGGGGATCAGGAGCCTGTGTTGGTTGATGAGGGGTTGCAGTGGAAGAGGTTTGGAGTGAATGAGTAAGTATTTGGTGAGAGATTGAGGGCGAAGGGAGTTTACTGTTTTCTCTGGGGTATATGGGTACAGTAGGGAGAGATGATTGGAGGGGAATACAGATGAATTGGTGGTGATGGGTATGGGACAAACTAGCAAACAAAAAATAGTGAAGAAGTTTATAAATTCAGGGGTTTTATTCGGGGAAGTGTTTAGGACGTTAGGTGCACTATTATTTAAATTAAGTATCAACAAAAGGAAGAGGGTGAGGGGACCTAAGTCCTTTGGTTTTGTGGACAGGGATATACCTATCATGTGAGTTGTTTTTACAGTAAGTTTGAAGTCCTAGGTTTGGTAACGATGTGAGTGAAAGGGCATATTGACTTGACTAGCATGTTAAAGGGCCTTATTGGGTGCTTTCATTTATTTGAGAGGGGTGATTGATGTGTCTGGATATGGAAGTGGCAAGGTTCCTTCTTCCTGCGAGTGCCAACTCACAAGCAAACCATATCTAGGGCAAATATTTACTTGTTGGTGCGTCAAGAGGTTATGGGGATTTTGGAGCATCGTTTTATCCAGTATTTCCTTTGTACATGGGTTTCTTCCCCAACCTCTTTTTTGCTTTTGAGAACTCCCTAGCTCTCCAATTCACACCAGTGGAATCTTTGCGTTGTTTTATATTTTGATGTTCTAGATGATTTCATAGTTCTGGTTATTAGTTAGGGATCCATTTTTTCCATTAGGAAAACCATAGAGGTATATTAGTTATCACCCTTGATATACATAAGCATGTTCATTTTTTTCAGTCCAAGATTAATAAATTCATGCATCTTTAATAATGTATGCATTATAGATCACATACTTCATGGTGCATTCCTCTATTTACAATAGAATATATTACATGTCATTACTCCCTTTTGTAATATTGTGTGTATGTAATTTGATAGGAGCAACAAATGGTGATGCCTGGTCATAGAGAATCAAACCTGCAGAGGGAGTTGAATCGTTACATTCCCACTGCTGCTGCTTTTGGGGGTATGTGTATTGGTGCCTTGACTGTATTGGCAGATTTCATGGGAGCAATTGGTTCAGGGACGGGGATCCTTTTGGCCGTTACCATAATTTATCAGTACTTTGAGACCTTTGAGAAGGAGAGAGCGAGCGAGCTCGGTTTCTTCGGTTTCTAAAGATGCTGAAGTGTGGTTATCTTTGTGTTTGTTCGGTGTTCTTGTGAGGAAGCTCATTGGAATTTTTGGTGAGAGGTAACATAGCAAACCACCCCCCCGCTTTCTCTCACACCTTTTCTCTATGAAAAGAGGTTCAGGCTTAGTGTGTAGTGACTGACAAACTGTTTGATTCTCTTTTATGCGATGAATTTATGCGATGAAGAGGGAAACCCGGAATGAAGATATTTTTGTATTTCCAATCAGACTAGAAGATGTTATTATGCAAGGCCAATACTTTCACCATACTTGGGATTTTGTTTCTTAGCTCTGCTGCAGCCTAAGCTGACTTTTCATTTCTCTTTTCATATTACTTAAATTTTGACAAAGGTCTTGGTTTTCTAATGCTATGCAGCTCAAGCTGTAATCCTCTTGGGTCCATATCTGTGCAATTCTTTTCATTTTGTAGACCATTTCACAATAATCAGAGTTCTTATTTGATGAATTAATTTACCATATCTTTGGGTATAGACGTGGGTTTTGTAATCTCACTTTGGTTGTTTGCTTAGAACAAGTTCATATGTTCGACTGTAACAGTGATTTTGCAATTGGGCTGATGGGGTTTTTAGCATGGTTTAGTCTTTTCCCAATGTAGATTATAGTGATTTTTTAATCCGTTAGCTGATGAGCATTTCATTTGATCGAGGTGTTCGACTGTCTTGTCATCACCCCCAGAGCTTTTTCCCAACTATTTGGGATCGGCTATATGTCATTCCCACGGCAGCAAAATCAACATTTACTCCTTTAAGCATATATAGTGTAGGAGGATTTTCTTGATATGATGTTTTGGGATCGTTAGACTTGAGTATTTTTGAAAGGAAAAAAAAGTTTGGATTTTGATTACCCGAATGCCTATTTCTAATTGTCTCGAGCCAAAAGACACAATGTCCATTTACTCCCTTGGGTAAAACCTCACTTAAAATTAATTTTAGGGACTTCAAAATTTGGAGATGTAATCTCATCCCACTAAAAATTAATTTTAGGGACTTCAAAATTTGGAGATGTAATCTCATGCCACTAAAAATTAATTTTAGGGACTTCAAAATTTGGAGATGTAATCTCATCCCACTAAAAATTAATTTTAGGGACTTCAAAATTTGGAGATGTAATCTCATCCACTTGAAGGTTAACCTCTAACAAAAAATTTTCTAATTGTATCCTCTGCATTGGAAAATAATATTGTTCCCAAATTGAAAAGAGATCATTTGATTTTAAATGGTGAGATCTACATGTTAGAAAATTCAAATTTTATTTTTCTCTTTTAAGAATAATTATCTAGTAATTCTTATAAGGTTTTTAAAATTTCAGATTAAAAAACATTCACTCAAATATGTCTTTTGGCCGAGGGGAGTAGAAGTAAATTATGCTCCCGAGGGAGCATGGTATACATGCTTTTGTGTAAATGCAATCTCAGTCTCTTTCTTTCCTGTAATTTCAAGGTGTTATGGTGAGGTTCTGTTTTAGCTTGGTGTCCACGTTGAGCATGTTCCATTCTTAAAAAATATTTCTTCTGTTTTGTTCAAGGAAGGTATTCTAAGGAGGCTATAATCTTTTCAAAATAAAGCCTCCTGATATTCGTGGGCACCTAGTGATGCAAAGGCCACAAAAGACATTAGGAAGAATAATGGAAAATATCTTTATATCTTTTATTTTTGGCTTTCATGTTTCATTAGATTTAAGAATTGAAAATATTATTTGAAAGCAAAACGTTTTTTATTGTTTTTGTCTTACACCCTTTTGGACCCTTTTGATCATAAATTTTTTACCCAAACAAATACTAAAATAGCACTTCCATCTCTCTCTCTTCGCTTTTTGGTGAGTTTACCAACCAAAGGGTTTAGTTTTAGCTTGAGCTTGAACACGAGCACACCTTATGTGTGATAGAGAGATGAAGTTTTAGAGAAAGAGAGATGGAGTTTGGGTTTTAGAGGGAGAGAGATGGAGTTTGAGTTTTAGGGAGAGAGATGGTGTTTT